TCGTAGAACGTGCCGCATTCGACAGTTCACAGTCCGCACTCTGCAGTCCGCAGTCCGCACTCCACAGTTCACTGTCCACAATCCTCATCCAGATCCACTTGCTGTTGACACTTGTAGTCGGGGTTACACGAAAGCCAAACCAACCCCTCTTAGCCTGGCTGACCACTCGATTCCCTTTGTCTGTCCGCCTGTCTGTCGGTCTACTTGTTCGCTGTTTTGGAGTGCTGCCTGTACCTCACTCCTCACACTCTTCACTTTTCACTCTCTGTTTTATGCCTGGCTGATGTGATTTTGCACTCAATTGAAAACAACTTGATTAAATTTTCATGTGAAAGTGCGAAACACGAAGTTTTCTACACTCCGAATGCTTGATGTATCTCCTAAGTACAGCAAAACGTTTTTACTCTTATTGCCTTGGAAGGGTCAATCAATCAGAATAGATATATCCACATATGCATTTGCATAGATATATTCCGAAATAGTTGCCAAGCTCTCTTATCAGTCCGCATGCTGATTAGACAGGCGGGGCACTTGTCGCCTCTTTGACAATTTTGTATTTTTATCGACTTTGACTGTTATTAATTGACATACTTGAGAATAACAATTAAGTCGAGTGGTTAGCCGATAAGAATGAATGCCAGCTATATTTGTTTAGTTCTGAGTGGCCTTAGAGCTAAGCATAACAATCAAACTGCGGGCATTCAATATTCGAAGGGATTCAAGTGGTTCAGGTAAGTATAAAATATTAATAGTACTCATACCTTCCGAAAGCCTCAGTAGAGCTTAGAGGAGTAAATATAGAAATGAGTTGCATAAATATACTGACATATATGTAGATACTGATAATGATAATACTAACCGTATTATCACAATATTAAAATTTTTATTGACATTGTCTTGGGCCGAGCTCCGACTAATAAGCAAAATAAGTGACTGCATTTAAAATTGTAATAAATTATTAATTGATTTAATTTCATTTTGTGGCGATGTCTCCAATGTGATGTGATTTGCCTCAGTTGGCTCTCTAGCTTAATAATTGATATTCTCATGGGCCTTTTGCGATTTCAGGGGGGGCTTTTTGGTATCATTTAGCCAGCCAATTTATTGGCCATAGCCAGCGACAAAGCAGCGACAAAGCAGCGACAAATCAACGACAAAGCAGCGACAAAACAACGTGACATTCATGAGCTATTAGCATACTCTTTGTCCACAACAAACAAAACCCTACAGAGAGGAATACGAAAAATACTAAATATACATGAAAACTAAAGTGTTTTGCTCGGGAATACCCGACTAGGAGATACTCCAAATTTGTAGTACATATGTAGTACATATGTAGAATATGAAACTGTCTCTAGCAAGACGAAAGACTATCAGCGGATGTTTATCAAAAAGAAAATATAACTTGGCTGCAAGATCATTAAGAGAACCTATATACTAAATAAAATACTAATTTGAGATAAGTCTTTAGCGGTAATAATTTTCCAGTTAAACTTAAAATTTTCGATATACTCACTTTTCGTTAATAAGAAGGAGTTAAGACGCAGACGTAAATATGAGCACAAATATATGAGCGTAAATGAGCATCAATTTCAATTGTGAACTCTAGATCAATTCAACTCTTCATTCTGCTCAAACAGTTGATGTGTCTGCCACGCCCACTACTACCAGCTACATACATATCCACAAAACTAAAATACCCTGTTTCGCCCGCTGTCAATGAGTTCAGGCTATAAAAATAAAAAATACGCAATGAAACTAATGAGGGGCCAAATGATTAATTTGGAGAACGGCGCTGTGTGGTCATTAGAAGTGCTGTTAGTCGTTGTTGTTAGTTGTCGCCGTAGCACCGGATCCCGAATTCTAGTGGTAGATCCGGTAAAAACAACAACTACAACAACAACAAGAACAATAAAACAGAAAAACTGGGTTTAATGGCTGCCCTTGCTTAAAGGGGGATGTAGAGCGTGCTTCCATTTACTCCATTTTTTAACTCATTTACAGTAATAGACCTGCACACACACACACACACCCACACGGCGACAGAGAGAACTAATGACAGCTCCCTGTTTGCCAAAGATAGTTGGCTACAGATATAACTGTGTAATGAGGTAGCTATACTCATAGAGATAGTTCAGAAGAACTGAGAATATTTCAAATTGTGCCTGCAGTTCGTTTAGTAATTAGTAATGGTAATTTGAAACTATAACTCTATATATATATATGCTAGTTCTGATCAAGCAAGATGTATAAATAAATGAGATCTGAAAGTATTTGCAAAGATCAACCATAGAGGTCCGAAATAAGTAAAACTATAAGATATGATGATATATATGGAATATCATGAGATGGCAATGAAACATTTAATGCTATCATTCATGATTTATAGTTAAGTTGAAGTTTTCAACTATCAATCATGATTATCGATTAAATGATCGCTATTCGGTTATCTCCTTCAAGGAAAGGGGAACTTATAGTCGATCAGTAGCAGTTGAATTCATTGCGCTGTGTTTGCTTTTAGGTACGCTGTTAAAAATGGCTTTCTTTATGACATTTTTTGGTTTTATGACTGCCATGTGGCAGGTTGACAGGCCAGCCAGCCAAGCAGGCAACCAACCAGCGACGGCCATAATTAGAGGCTAGACGTGGCTCAACGTTAGCCAAGCAAGAACAGCAACAGCAACACACAACAATAGCAAACTCATATTTAATTTAAATGTCTCCATGATGTCCGCTAATTATTCGCTGTCACTGTGCGCCGTCTACTGTGACTGCAACTGCGACTGCGATTGTGACTTTTGTGAATGGCTGTCAAACTTCTGGCCGAGCATTGTCAGCGCAATTCCCCCGAAGCTAGCCTCTGCTCGATTGTTCAGAATTTTAATATGAAATTGCAGCTATGTGGGAAAAGGCTGAAAAACTAATTTGAAAAGAGCTTCGACTTGGCCTTAAATCCCGTTCAATCCATTGCCATAATCCAAATTGACATGCCAGCCGGCTGGCCAAGAGGAATCCTACTCTCTGCTGTCCTCCCATTCAGCCACTGTCTCGCTCTGTTCCACTCAGCCCAGTCCAGCCCCAGCCTCTGCTCTTTGCTTGTCTTGTTGACCAACCGCATGGCTGTTCATTTGTATTTGTATACCCTGTACACATTGAGCCCAGGACATGCAGGGAATATTGTTTCTGTGCCTGGCATCTAGGAGTATATTTTGTCTACTCCAGGCTAAAGCAACCAACAAGTCCATTCGTTCGTCTGTGGTAGATCCTTGATAAACTGACATTTTTGAAGGCCATTCCCCAACAGTTTCCATTTGATCACACATCTCAAACCGATAAGAACCGTAGTGCTGTGGGTATCTGCTAGTCGGGCGCTTTCAACTAGAGAGAATAATCTTCTCTGCTTTCATATACCGACTCGAGCAGTTGGATGGATGCCACCCTCTGTTGGTCACTTTCAATTTGGTTTTCTTTTTGCTGATTTTCGGCAATCGCCCACATCTCCCACGTCTCTCTCTCCCTCGCTCTCATTCTCTCTGTCTCTGGCGCCTGTCATTTCACTAAGTGGACACAAATAGATTGTGGCTGCAGCTTCTGGCCGTTGGCCCTTGGCTGTTGGCTGTTCGCTGTTGGCCGTTGGCTGCTGTCCGCAGCTTGGCTCAATAATCAATCAAAAACCTGGGCTGGCTTCCAGTTTCCACAAACTGTGCCAATTAGAGTCAAGAACCCCCTCTGACGAGAAAACAGGCTGGCTCGGCTGGCGCATGCAATGGCGCACAGCCCGAAGGATCTCTCCACCGAGCCTCATTACAAGCTAACAAAGAAATAAAAACCCACAAAATTGTCCAATTAAACGCAATTTATGCGATATATTTCCGAGTAGCAAAGCGGCAAAAGGCAGCCAAATTGAAAAGGTGTCTCTCTGGAAGTTTCAATAAAAATACCATTTGATCGCCCGACAGAGCGACTCGTCTGCCGCTCCGTCTGCAACATTGTGTGGCGCCTTCCCTTTCAACTTGTTGGCAAATGGTTTACTTCCGCAACCAGCGGCCGACCACCTTGCCAACTCGTAGGAGTCGCAGTCGAGGCTAATGTGACAGCACCAACACTTTAAGATCCCTTTCTGAGTGAGAGAGAGAGAGAGAGAGAGGGTGAGAGAGAGGGAGGGAGTGAGAACTACCTGCTGACTGTCGACCTGGCGGCATTCTCTGTGTTTGTTTTGCCTTTGAAGCGCAGCAAAAACACGTAATATATTTATAATGAAAGGCCGCCAGGATTATCATTATAGAGAACTCCTCTCCAGTCCGCTAATTGTTGTTGGTTTTTTCTTCCCCTTTGTGTTTCTTTTTGTCGGGCTATACAGCATATGGCATTAGAATATTATATATATCCTGCCTCAAAGCGACATACATCAAAATTAATGTGAATTAAATTAAATTTCGCTCGTTAAGGCACTCAGGACTACAAATGCTTGACAACAGGATTTAGTAACTCAGACTCTATTTGCGGGATCATCTCACAGATCGCGTAGTTCCGTTGGAAAACTTTCGTGCAACTGACGAGGAATCACTTTCGGTGGCGAAAGGATTGGATCTTCTAGTCCTGTCATGTCACAGGATATCGAATGCATTCGAAATGGTAGAATGGTAGAAACTGCAAGAAATCGTGGGATCTTGATGGGCTCGTAACAGTATCGAACTTTGACTACATAAACTACTACTTCATTATTATTATTAAAATTATAGTATTAAAATTTAAGTTTTAGATCTAAATCATGATGATCAACCTATACACATATATATGCCACCTGCTGATTCACATGTTTATACCTTTATAGATCAAAACGTCAATGAGAGATTTTTCCAGTACATGCCTCAAGCCTAAATCCAAAAGAGTTCTGATAATATTAAAACAATTTGTTGATTTCTTTGATTTCGTAATGTATTTATTTCAGTTAGTTATATCTTGCAATAGTTTTTATAATTATAATACTAGGTAATACCATTCGACTTACGAACTAACATACAATACAAGCCGTATATTTAAAATTCTTTTATACTTTATGAACTATTACATATATGTGTATGCCTTATAGAGTTGACATTTTGTGAGACTTTGAGAGGTGTTGGGCAACTGAAGTTGAAAATTAAATCATGCAAACACTGCGCTACAAACTAAAGGAAACTACTTAAACTTACGTCGAGTTCTTAAGCATATGATTATATGGTGTAACTGTATTTTATGTGGAAAGTAAAGCTAAATATTTACAAATTGATTGATTCGTCTTGTTCGGGGCTTCGCTGGGCCCATTCCGTTCGTTTTTCAACTCTATTTACAAAGCAAACTTTATCACAAATAAACCTTATACACATACGCACACACACATGTGTAGATAGTGCTATGTGTATGTGCATATATACGATCTACCATTTGACAATTAGCAGCCCGCTGCATGGGACGCCTCCGCCCAGGGCTGCAGGCCGTGCAGCGCCGCCAGCGGAGCTCCATTTACGCCGGACTGTGAGCTGAGCGGCGCAGCGGGTGGCGCAAAGCCCTTGCTAATGGCCTCCGCCTGCAGTGATAACATCAGCCGATTGGCTGCCTGTCGCTCCGCCTCGCGCTCCTCCGCCGTCTGACGCCTGCAAGCAAAGAGAGAGAAACAGAGAGAGAGAGTGAGAGTGAGTGAGATTTGATGAGCTTTATCTATACATTGACATCGACTAATGTGCATATTCATTATGGCTAAAGTACACATGGCTAGCTAGACCTATATAGCCGCCAGGTGGGGCAAAGTAATCGAATCAAATATGCTGATTGTCCACAATTCACAATGCACACTTATAGCCTGGCCCTGGCTGTTTCGCTTTTGTTTTATTGAAAATTAATTTCGAGTTGCTTTGCCGTTAAATTACATTTTAAATGTTGCGCTTAAGTGGGATTTAAGAGCGGCAACAACTCCTGTCCTGTGGCCATCAATTATTCAACTGTAATTGCAACTGCGCTTCGCTGCTGCAGCAACAGTTCCATTCCCAGCCATTCCATTCCCATTCGCTTTGCCCTTTGCCAGTTCCACTTCCATTGCCAGTTGTTGCAACTGTAAATGCAATTTCGCATTGCTGCAGCATTTGCTTCATTTCCTTTTACTCTTCTTCCTTCTACTTCCCATTCTCCTTCCAGTTCCATATTAGTCTTGCGCTTTCCCTTTGCCTTTGCATCTTGCGTTTGCGCAGCATTCGTGCTCTAATTGTGGCCACACACACAAACACCAACACCAGCACACACACACACACACACACACATTCACTCACACAGATAGATAGCCGTTAGGGTGGTTGTTTTTGCCTTTGCGCCATATTGAATATTTCATGATCTAATGAAGTTCTTATGGTTGCCAGCTAAAGTTTTTGTCCCGTGTAATTACTATCCTAAATACTTAGCTCGTTAGTTCGAGTGTATTTCTACGTGTGTGTGTGTGTGTGTGTGTGTGTGTGACTGTGCGACCCACACATATTATTTGTAGTATTACATGTAGTTAAATATGCTATCATTAAGGCTTTCATCAGCAATGTCATCATTCAAACTAAAAGTTCATAACTCGAATGCGAGCTTATTAAAAATTCATCAATCTCATTGCCGAATTGGATGATTGTTAGCTGAATGGCAAAAGAGATAAAACAGGTAATTTCGTGCACAGAACTTATTTTGGTGCTTGCTCTGACCCCTACTAGAAGATATGTACACATATTTTGGTCCACTCTAATTCAATTATTGCTCAACACGGCAACGAGATGTAACAACAGCAACAGCAACAACAACTGCAATTTCTATGTCTGGCATTCGGTTTGAGTGAGTTATATATTATGCGACTATGGGTAGTATTTCACTTTTACTTTCTGGCATTTTTGGATGCTTTATCTGCGAGGCATTTTTACAGCTACCGCATGAAAAATTCAACAAAAATTGATTAAAAACTCCAAAGGCAAAGCAAACTATGTGTGTGTATGTGTGTGAGAGCTTAATTTGAGCGGAACAGAGACAGAGAGAGAGAGAGAAAGCGCGCTAGAGGCAGGCAGGCGAAGCTCTGTGTGTATGATTGAGTATGTGTGCGGGCTTAATTTAAGCGGAACAGAGAGACAGAGAGAGAAAGAGCGAGCGAGGTAGAGACAGAGACAGACGACAGCCTCTGGGCTTTAATGAAGCGCAACAGAGACAGAAATAGAGGCAGCACGACTGTAATTTATCTTGTGCAGCACGAGAGTTTTTTGTTTTTGTTTTTTGGGTTTTTTGTTTTTATCGAGGTGGAAATGGAAAACGCTTTACAAATGTTAACTGTTTGTCTTTTGGCGCCAGGGCGATGAAAATGTTGCTGTTGTTGTTGTTGTTGCTGTGTTCACGATAAATAATGGGCAGGCATTAGGCTAAAATGTTTATTAAAGCACGACACACTCGCACACAAACAGAGAGAGAGAGAGAGAGAGAGAGCGAGAGAGGGAGAGAGAGAGAGTGAGCAGGAGCGGAAGAAAAATCGGGGCAGCGGGTGATAAATGTGGTAACAAATTTAATGGCAAGTCAATTGTCGCGCTGTTAGCAGCTGCTCAAGTGCCAGCCGAAAGCAGCTAATTAAAATCATTTCATAGACGCACACACACACACACACACACACATAGAGAAAATAATGTTTTTGGGGCTCTCTGGTAATTATCTTTCAAGACATAACAATTTAGCCAGTCCATTAATTGGCTGGCCCCAGCAAGTCCCGCAGGACTTGGCCAAGATTTCGGCCTGGGCAGGACACGTGCCTTAACGTCGCAGCTTCAAACTTAATTTACAAATGGCCAAGCGCAGCTGCAATTAATTTCATTTGATTTTCTTTCTCGCTTTGTTTTTGCTTTTGGCCCAGCAAACTTTGCTCTTTGCCAAATTGATTTTTCGTCTTGCGGTTCAAGTTTTTGCCAACAACTTCATCAGGCCAAACTCACACATACACATCCACACACGCGCATAGTTCATTTGTCATTGTGTGCGTGTGTAAATTTTTAATCAGACAGCTTTCAGCAGCTACGGCCAAAACTTTGCCATATGCCACACAATTAATTTCGTGTGAGTTTTGCTACTCGAATTTAAGATTCGCCCCAATATCCTGCCTTCCCCACACCCATCCTGCCCTGCCCAAGTCTTTGTCTTTGTGTTTGATGCATGGCCGTGTAATTAAAAAGGGTTTAACGGCAAGTTGATTTATGTGCAGGTTGCTAATTAAATTATGCATACTCTTCCAGTATCCAGCAGCTTAAGAGCGGCAAATTGGAAATGGAAATGGAAATACCCTGTAGTAAATGAGATATGAGATATTTGAATCGGATATCATCTTTTACTAATCATGTTTTACTCTCATAGCAACTGCACGAAATAAGTATACCTCACGCAGTCGCCGCCCGTTCGCTGGGTATTCAATTCCTGCAAATCTTTGCCCAAGTAGACAACCGTTAGACGCCGTCATTTGTTTGGCCCCAGCGCAAATAAAACAAAGTGCGCAATGACATGCCATTTTTTTCTTCCACTGACAGACATGCTGTCCCTGTCACACCCGCGCCAGCACGCGCTCGCCATCTAGCGCTTTCTAACTGTTGTCTGTCTGCCGTTTGCTTGACTTGGCGACTTTTTGATGCCCTTTCGAAGCTTGTTGCGAATAGCATATAATAGAATATTAGATAACTGTATAAATATCGGACTGCGTTATTAAGTCTCTTTAATTAGAATCAAATGAGAACCCTCATGTTGCTGCATCTGAAAGCCTTTCACACAACAGATGGAATATATTTCCAAGTAGGCATAGAAAAGGTATTTGAGCTCGTCAGAGCGCAGCCAACTGTGTTAGGCTTGTTATTTCGTTTTCGCTGCTCCTTTTAATTTCTTGTTCGCTAAACACATTGTCAAATTGACGGGCAACAAGCTTCATTCAATTGCTCAGTCTTCTTCTTCTTCTTCTTGTTAATTATTAASTGTTGTTGTTGCTTTTTCTTTTTTATTGCCGCTGTTGTTGTTGCTGGCAAGCGAAGGCCTCTGATTCATGCCATGTCTTTGTTATTGCCCGCAAAACGAGTTACAAAAAAAAAGTAAAGGAAAAAACAACAAACATATTTTGAAATCTTTGAAGTGTACATAACTCATACGCCATGTTGAACGTTGCTAATTATTCAAATTACTTGGCGCGCAGTTGCATTAAGGCAATTATGTGAAATATACATAAATATATGTATATATGTACATACATAAGTATATGTAAATGTAGTTGTATTTACGAGACATACATAATCATGGGGCTTGTTTAATGCCGTTGCCATTTCACTTAGCCACAAACGAGCCGTGGCCATTGCCGTTAACAAAATTGCGTTTTACATCATTAATTTTTACGAGCTAAACTAGGGTCCAAAATGGCTGATAAGCTCTAAGAGCCAAACAGCCAACAGCCAACAGCCAAGAGGACTTGGCCAAAAGGCAGTGCCAGGCAAGGGAGTGAGAGGGAGGGAGAGAGTGTGGGAGAGAGACGGGTCTGGCTTCTGGCTTCTGGCATTGTCGTGCTGTGGGAGCAGAGCCTGCTAAGCGGCAATTAACGCGTCTCAAATGCGCCCACTGTAAAAAGTTTTGCTGCTGTTGCTTGAGAAGGCAAAACAAATAATAGTCGACTGTGCTCGACTAGCAGATACTCAGTGTATGAGTTTTCAGTTGAATAGGAACAGGTGTGTAGTAGAACACATATCCAAGTTATTTGTATACCTTTGTACTCAAGTAATCCTCTGGATAATATGACAATAATTACAGTTTGCCTTAATATATATTATATATTAGATATTGCAGCACATACTGAGATGGACAGATAGCTCACAGCCTGAGGATCATCCTTATACTATCTAACCTATCCTTATACTATCTAAGTTGGGCCACATCTCTCACTCGCTTTCATTGGGTGTTGGGTAGCGTTGCTCAGTTTTTGAAAAGTTTTTCGTTTGTCATTATCATAATGGTAATTGCATATGGTCATATCATGTATCATAAATGTATGGAGGGGGGAATCATTTTGTTATAATTCTAATGTTAATAATAAAATAGAAAGCAATTTGAGACACGCAACGGCGTTCAACGCATCAATGCCTCATTAAATTAGAGACAAACAAGCGCGTGACATGTTTATAGCTGGCATAATATGCGTACACTGAGCGAAATGGAGGAAAGCTCACTTGACAGAAATATCTTTGAATTATTAAGGTGAACATGGGGAAATATTTGGAGACATTCAAAATCTTGTTTCGCTTAATAAAGTATTTCAATCTTGTATGTAAAGAAGATTTTCTTCGAGTGTAAATAATTCTACATATAATTAAAGGAACGGAAGCTCATGTGCTTGATAAGGCAGCGATTCCATAGTTGGAATTGTTCATTAAATGCCATTTGCTCTATGCTGAGGTAAATACTTTCATTGCAGGGGAAATAAATCAAGTTAATGAATAAACAGCTGTGCGGCTTATAAATTATTTTATATGTAGAGATTATATGTATATACATATATTAAATAGATACATATATGAACATCTATAGTACTAGAGACTCTATCCAACCATGAAGCTTAAATAAATTAAGAGCAAATCAAGGCTCAAGTAGACTCGAGCATATCAAGATCTATATTAGTCTAATATTAGTCTAGACAGCTAGCTTATTAAATGATATTTTGACATTATTTCTGAACAATATTAAATACTTTTATGACTAAATTGAAAAACCAATATTTTTGTTTAAAATTATTGAATTTGAAATATAGTTAAAAATTTTTAAAAATATTGCTCAACTGGAACGATTTGATATATTTGCATTTATTTTCGGAAAATACAAAATTGATGATTTCCTATCAATTATTTTTAAATGCTACTTTGTAATTATTTTGCTTTGAATAAAATAGAAAAAGTTACTCTAATGCAGAAAGAAATAGATAAATTTCCAGAATTTCTAGATTTTGAACAGACCTCGAACATGACTCGAACTATTTGTCATAGTAAATATTTTCAAGAATATATTGCTGAAGCTCATGGTGGCAATAAAATGTAACTAATCCAGCAACTGCAAGAGTTCTAAATGCATATACTCTATAAGTCACATTTATTTTCATATCTGCTTAATATAACTTAAGCTGAATTATGATTATGTTTTTCATAGCCTCCATTTTGTGTGCTGCTTATCATCGTTTGCCTAATAGGAAACCCTCGGCTCATTATGGAGCAAGCGCTGCAGATGACTGAGCAAACTAGATACGAAAGCGAATCCACCCCCGCAGAGGGCCAACCCCTAAACGGAACGGAGTGTGGGTGGGCCAGAGCCAGAGCCGGAGACAGGCGGGGGAGGTTTGCGCTTTTTCATTTAATGTGCTCATGCATAATGGAAAAACCTTTTACCCCCAGWTRTAAAASTGAGCTATATATATACACGTATATATTTATATTTTTCTCTCTTTTTTCTAGTTTAAAGAGGCGTGGCAGGGGGCGGTGGAAAAGGGCGTTAGCTGTCAGCACTTGAGAGCGTTGCATATTGATTTTTGTTGTTCCCTAAAACTGTAGAACTTACCTCCATTTGGTGCGACGATTCTGAAACCACGTTTTCACCTGTGCATCGGTCATCTTGAGGCCGCGTGCGAGTGCCGCCCGCTCGGCAGATGCCAAATACTTTTGCTTGTGGAAACGCTTCTCCAGCTCAGCCACCTGGATGCGTGTGAACGAGGTGCGCGGCTTTTTTCGCTTGGGCGGCGTGCGATTCTGATACGGATGTCCGATGCGTCGGGCAATGGGAAAGGCAGCTGAAAGCAGAAGAGTCCTCAGTTAGCTGCAGTCCAGGCAATTAGTTAGGTGTACATCAAACATATATGAGTATATCTAAATAGATAATAGGACATTTCCGATATTTGCTTCCGGCAGCCCTGTGACTGTGTGTGACCTCTGTCTACCTGCTGTGAAATCAATTTGGTGAAGAGCCGGAGTCACTGACTCGAGTGCCTAATTGCCGCTGTCTGAGTGCGATCTTTAACCTTTATCATCAGAGGCAGAAGACGACGACGACGACGACGACGCACGCGACATCAATTTCATTCAAAAGGTTGAGTCATAAACTCTCCTCGTACTTCCTAGGATGCCTATGCGACCTAAGTCTAAGGCCGCCTTCGTCTCTCTTAATGGGTGCGCACTGTGCCGCTGGCTAACTGGCTAACTGGCTGGCTGTCCGTTTGTCCGCCTGGCGCTGAACCTTTTAAAATTCCAGCCAGTCGACTTACTTTTGCGTGTTGTTGTTTATTGTGTGCGATAAGACGAGCCAACCAAGCTACAMCAACAGCAACAACAACAACAAACTCAGCAACAAAATATTAAAACGTTGTCGTCGTCGTCGTTGTCCTCGACGACAAACGGCCGAAACCGGCTTGACCAACGGCTCATAGGGGTCATTTGTTAGTTAGATCTGGCTAAATATTTAAGCACATTAAAATTACTCGAAGATGCGAGCCCAAATGCAAAATGACCTCTGTAATAGATATAAAATCATTTTCTAATTAATTATAAAGACTAAAGTTGAGTGCATTGAGTATTTCCCAAGAAAATTGAGTAAATTGAATGAAGGAAAATCTAAAGGTGTTCATAAGAGCTAATTCAACTGAACTTTATGTACAGATTACGAATTTATATGCTTTACGGTATGTGTGATGCATCTTCTTACATCTAGACCATTTAAGAGGTCTTCACCAAGCGGTCTATGTACAGAGGTATATCTGAATAGCTCTATCAGTAAAGGCCACAGCCCGAACTTAAATTTCAGGTGATTGCCATTATTTTTGCTACATAAATTGCAGATTGTGCGTGTGCCTGTTTCTTCTCCTTTATAAAATGTACCTATTCCATAAACCATGTTCGTAATTTCCTTCATTTTCCAATCGCTAAAGAGCTTCAAATTTGATCATATTTGCAGCTCAGCCGAATTCTTTCACTTGCTTTTTATATCCGTAGAAACTTTGCTTCGCTTAAGGCAACTCTGAATGGGCCGCAATAAAAAGCCTAACAAAATGGCAAAAATTTCCATCAATCGGAAAAGTCCCGAAGCGAAGTACCGTTATGTATGGCTGGGTGTTAAGCTGACAAATCATGTTTTTTATTGTGACTTCGCCCAGGAACCCTTCAATTTCCATTTGCCCTCAGCAGAAATGGGGGGAAATGTGGGACGCGTGCTCGGAAGGGTTTGAATGCCATTTGAATATTTCAGGTAATATCAATTTCAATAAAAAGCCATTTATCGCACCACATAAGCAGGCGCTCATATCCTTAAAGGATGCGAAGTCAAGCACTCATTCGCGTAAGCATAATTTTATGGCTTACCAGCAAATCCCGCCCCTCCCCTCAGTCGGATTCCTCTTATTTATGATGTTTTGGCTCAGTTCTTGGCGTATCTTAAAGATACTCTCACAACCTGTCTGTGGGCTGTGGCGGCTGCTGCTGTTGCTGTTGCTGTTGCTGCCGTTGCTGCTGTTGCCGTTTGCGTTACCGAAAATACGTAAAATAATGCTAAAAGCTTTTAGCATGCATTATTGATGGCGCCTGTGGCCGAGACAGAGGCTGAGACTAGCGGCGCTGGCTCACCTGGCGTATGCGCAATATGTAGCTACAAATATCTACACTCGGGCATTTAAACTTTGAACTTGCATGCGATTTGGCCACTTTTTGGCTAGAAAGGGCTAAAAATTTAATTGGCGCCCGCTGCGTGCGCCTGTCAGCAGAAAGCCAAGTCCAAGCAACGGCATTCCAATTAACATGCAACGCTTATTAATCATAAGAGTGAGCGTGAGAGGGTGAGGGTGAGAAGGGGAGAGAGCGGGAGCGGCCAATGGGCAAATGGTCACACTGTGACGCTGGCTCGTTTGTCTTGTTAATGAAAAAAGCCAAGGCGCCAGCTTATCAGCAAAGCCGCAGCGACACACGGCCCTCACACAAGCACACTCATTCACACAGACACAAACACAAGCACAGTGCGACAGGGCGACAGACGTCGCTGACGAAGTTGTTGACAAAACGAAACTGGTCAAAGGAAGCTTCACTCGCTCTCCCTCTCCCTCAGCCGACACTCTCATATAAGCATGACAAAGAGAAAGAGTGTGGCCAAGTTCAGTTTAGCTTGCATATCGGATCTCCCTCTCCCGCTCTCTCTCCCTTCTGATCTGTTCCTTCTGTTTGTAGGCTGCGCAGCTCCCTCTCGCACTCGCACACTCACACACTCACACATTCGCACACTAGCTGAGACTAATTAAATGCTGCCCATGTCAGTTGAGGCCGCGTCGCATTGAAGTGTGGTATGCTGGCGATAAATAAGCCAGGCCGAGCCAAGTCCGCAGCTCACTTGAAGACCGCCCAAAGTGTAATTAATTCCTTTTTCGGGGGCACAGCGCGAAATTAAAAAGTCATGTAAACCAGCTCATTAAAATAACTAAAAAACAAGTAAGAAAGCTCCAGTCGAGACTGCTCGACTAGGAGATACCCTGAACCCTGCAAGCTGATATTCTAATCATTCTGCACTTCTTTTATGCACACATACATACACATGCTTCCACACGCACGCATAAGCCTGCGCTCTGCTAACTGCGCAGTAAGCAGCGACTGCGCTTGGGCTGCGCTGCAATGTGGGCAATATTATGAGAATTTATTTGTTGAATAACTTCTTTTGTAGACATACGATCTTAATGAAACTTTTAGGGCGTAATCATATGGTGAATATGTGTGTACATTCCAAAGCCCAAGTCTCTAGTACTTGAAATGCGTCTTTTACAAATTGGGGGTGAAGGGGGCGTGGTATCCAAAATCTGTAAATTACAAAATCTTTGTACCGATTAACTTTATATACAACGCANCACGAGTATGCATGCCAAATTTCAGCTCTCTAGCTCTTATAACTTCTGAGATCGACGCACTCATACGGACGGACGGACGGACGGACGGACGGACGGACGGACGGACGGACGGACGGACAGACGGACAGGGCTATATCGACTCAGCTCGTCACGCTGATCAAGAATATATATACTTTGTGGRGYCTGCSACKCYTCCTTCTGCCCGTTACATACTTTTTCACAAAACCATTATACCCTGATTTCCCATTGAAAATGGGTTCAGGGTATAATAAAACAAAAACCAAAACAAAAACTAAACTAAAACGAAAACGAAAACGAAAAGGCATATAAAATAAGGAGCGCAGCGGATGTTGGCCATAAAAGCAAATCGCACCGCGATCGTCCAGCTAAGCAGCTTTGCGGCTCACAAATATGAGTTAATGCAGCCAACTTCCTACTAACTGGGCCCAGGCGAGCCCAGTCGAGCCCAGTCGACTGACAGCACAGCTGATAAAAAGGGTATGCAGATTCGTAATAAAATCAACGCGTTCTCATTATTTAAGCGGCTCGCGCTGTTCGAACAACCGAAGCTCATAATGTAAACAAATTAAGGAAGCGAACAGCGAGCATCCATGCAGCTCGGATCGAACATACCTATACCAACATATACGCATATATGTATGGGTATATAAACAGATACCTATACCTATATGCAAATGAGTAGAGCAAAACTTTTGCTTCTGGGCGGTTTTTGTTCTTTGGCTTTGACTTAAGCTGCGATTGTGCATTTGAAGGCAAACATGTTTTTATACTTTAGGGCGTGTGTGCCAGTGCGTGCATGTGTGTGCAAGTGTGTGTGTGAGTGCGTATGTGTGTGGCACTGCTTGGGCAAATGACATGCCGACAGGCATGTTGGCTTAAAAGACTTCTCTGATCGCGCTTATTAGGCAAGGAACACACAGTCACAGTCTACAGGCTCACACACACTTACATATTCACATACTCACACACACACACACATGTGGGGCATGTACATCGTAACAGTAGCTGTTGCTTGTTATTTGGGGGCTACCTCACTTTTAACCGTGAGCTTCACTCACCTGCCAGCCGATCCTTGACCGCCTGATGGGCGAGCGCCGCATGATGCAACGGCGGTAGCGCCCAGGTGAGCGGCGTGCGCTGCGGCGGCACACGTAGCACATGACCGGCAGCCGCTGCCGCTGCCGACGGATAAAGATGCGGATACGAGTAAAGCGCTGCGGCGCTGCCATAAGTCGAATTGGCAATGCTGCTGGCCAATTTATAGGCGGCCAAATCGTGTTCGTCTGCCTGCAGCTCTTTCTCTTCAATATTTCTATCCAAATTGCTGTTGTTGTTGTTGTTGTTGCTACTGCTGTTGTTGTTGTTGTTGTGTTGGCTGCTGCTGTTGATGCTGTTGTTGTTGTTGTTGTTGGTTTCAAAGGGTTTCGAAAGCAGGCGCGATATACTGAAGGGCAGATTCTCGCTGGATGAGGAGCGCGTCTGCTCCGATTGTAGTGATTCGCTAAAGGAAAGAGACAGGCAGAGAAATAGAGAGAGAGAATGAGTGAAATACAAGCTATTATTATTGTTGTTGCTCTCATTAATATTAAAAGTGTCACTAGATAAGAGCGAGACAGAGAGAGTGAGACGGAGACAGATAGAACTAATTATGGCTAAAATGTTGCAAACTAAAATCTGAAAACATTTGCCCACGCATATGGCATACACTTAAAGAAAAACTAATGGGTATATTACGCAAATTGAAGACAAACAAATGGCAGAAAACAAGTTTAAAATTTGGAAATGTTTTATGAATGTAATTAACAGAACATTCATGAATTTAAATAGAGTTTAATGATTGAATTCAACGTAACAACATCAAATGACTCTGACTCCTTAAACTACTGTTAATTTCTAAGGTATGCAGATCAATGTTCTTCTCAAGCTCTTATTCTTACATTGGTGTTGCTATCCCAGTAATGATCTGTAATCAGAATACATCACTCGAGAAAGATTCTCATGCAACTTTACATTTAGATTAAAAATAATTTTGACAAGATACAAAATTCAATCAAGCATAATAAATACTATTGTGGTATATTAATACATAAATTTTATTTTTTTTAATAGCAACATATATTTTATTTATTATGTCTTTATTATATTTCCAAATATATTTGCATTTAAATTAAAAGTTATTTAATTAAATATTCTCAGATCAAATTTAATTATTATTCCATCACAATCTAGTTGAGTACGACAATTTTTCTCCAAGTGTATTTCAGTAGTTATTGCTGCTGCTGCTCGATGTTGGCTGCTGGCTCTTGGCTCTTGGCTGTGTTGCAGATAAGGCCTAAAGTATTGGCTGGAAACACGCAGAAATCATGTTTTCGTCTCGCGCTCAGCCTTCGCCTTCGTCAGCGTATATGCTGCGTATGCGTAATATTTCGCATGAATCTTGGCAAATTAAGTAATTATGCAAATGGCATTTGATTCGCATTCTATAAATCGCCAGTCCGATCTACACTTGACAAAAAGCATCAGCCACAACGTCCATAAGTCAGTGCAACAACTATTTTATGAGCTTTCTTCTTTTGTCTCGCGACTCGCGGCTCACATTCGCTTCGCTTTATGTGTTTTCAGTTTCGCTTTATGGAGCATTCTCTATTAAAATGTTAATCCCATGTGATGCGCAGGGCCCCCCGACTGGGGCCTGGTCTTTGTGTTGCTCGAACTCGTTTGGCGCCCATTTGGGGAGCTGTTATCGCTGCGCGTCTTTGGCGCCTTACTAATGTGCCTTTTTATCGTCGGAAGAGTTGGCCATGCCCAGGTCTATCATACCCTATAATTCCATCTCTCTTTCTTTCTCTCACTCTCTCTCTAGGTGTCTTTGTAAATTCAGGAAGTTTTCTTGGCGTCTGCTGCGGCTATTTATTAGCGTTTAAGATCTTTGTTCACGCCAAACCCAAATTGGAGCGAGTCGAGAGCTCGTTTCAATGCGATTCGATTCGATTCGATTGTGAATGAAAGCGTTTATTGGATCAGCTTGTTAGCTATTCAAATGCGCCAAGAATGGGACTTTGTGTAGTCAGACAATGCGAACGTCATTTGAATATATTCATTTTATGGACTCATCAAATGATTAAGAGAAGTTAAGAGAAGTTTCAAGTGTCGTTCCTGGCTGCCTAATACTCTGTTTAAGTTGAGGGATGAGATTTGAAATGAGACTGAAAGAGGGTGAGAGAGAGAGAGAGAGAGAGAGAGAGGGAGTCAGACTGATCTTAAGACAGAATGAATGATCAAGATAAATAGAAAGAGGAAGAGTGAGAAGGGGTTAGAAAGAGAAAGAGAGGGAGACAGATTGGGGCAGACTGGATGATCAACAATTAGAGTATATGAGAGAGAGAGAGAGAAAGAGAGAGAGAGAGATAGAGGATAAATAAGGAGACAGGAATGGAGACTTGAATCGAATCGAAATCAAAAGAGATGTTTACTATTGGAGCTGAAGAGTGTGTGATTAATTAAATTGCTAAAAGTTAAGCGAAGAGCGGAAGTTTGAGTGTTAAATTTGAGTTATCAAACTGTAACAGCAACTGTGAGAATACAAAATGTTTACAAACATGACAGATCAAGTTAGATGTAACAAATATGCCCTGCCACCCATCGTTAACAGAGTATGATTATGAGAAGTTCTCAATGCAATAACTAATGTATGCTAAGCCCAATTAAATTTGTTGTAACTAGACATAAAAACATAAAAGATCTGTTTGACACAAATTGTGTGTATATATATCAGGCTATTTATTTATTTGATTAATAGTTTACCTGAGCGGAGTTTCCGATTCGTCGTAGCAGCTGCCATTGTCCATGTCGACGTCTGAGCCGCTGCCGCAGGACATTCGTGAATCGGAGTCGACATCGACGTGTATTTCCTGCTCCTCAACATCTTCGCCGTGCTCGTGCTCGTGCTCGTGCTCGTGCTCGTGATCATCCTCCTCGTGACTGGACATGTTGAGAGCTGTTAGGCTTATGTGAGGCGCCAATTTGAACAACACTTTTGTTTTTTCTATTTTTGATTATTCAGATATATGCAATACATATATATCGGGATCTACTTATGAATCGAGTATTTCTTTGCCTCACTCACTGCACAGTTGACGGCGCTTCGATTGGCTTCACACTTTGGCTTTGGCTTTAATGAAACGAGGCCGCGACGCGATTTCGTTAACCGTTAACCGGCTCGACAAATGGAACTGGGCTCAGATTTGAGATCGACGAGTGAGCGAAAAAACTCCGTGCTGCTAGCGGGCGCGTGCTGGCGGGCGTGAACGCTTTTCATAAATGCAACCAAAAATATGCCGACGGACTGTGTCGCTGCCGCAGTCGTTGTCTCGGTCGCTGCCTCAGTCGCTGCTCGTTAAGTGGCTGGGCGAGCGCGTAAAACCAGTTCCGCTGACGCCGGCAGCGCTGTCGCCGTCGTCGTCGCAGTCGCCGTAGTCGCCGCGACTGCTTCCCTCCTGTTTGGTTAGCTTTAACGAGCCTGTTTGCCACCTTGTTTGAACCTAACCTACCATAATAAACGCACTCCAACCCTCCCGCCCGCACTTGCCTACGCCTGTGGTGGTTGCTCTGCTGTAGCTCCGCCTCGCGCGTGTTTGCCTCTCGCTCGCTCGGCTCGCTCTCTCGCTCGCTGCGCCGGCGCGCTCGCCTGTGCTGAGGTGGACAAACCGGTCTGGGTCTGCGCGTCGCTTGGCAGCACTGGCCGGCAGCCGTGCAGCAATTGGCGCAGTGGGCGTGATGCTGCCGGCCTCTGATTGGTCGCTGCGGCGCAGTTAGTCGAACAGTTACAGTTAGCGCTTGCTTGCCAGTGGGAGTGTGATAGGGAGAGGGAGAGGGACGGAGACGGGGACGGGGAGCAGCTTTTGCATTTGCGACGACATTTTAAATGGAAAACGTTTTGCTTTTGGGGTTTTTATTACGCACGGAGACGAAAGCACGAAGAGAATGTATTTTCATTTTGATTGCTTCTATTTTCGGCTTAGCGATGCGAAGCGAGGCGAAGCGTTCCGCCATCTCGTTCCTGTGCGAGCAGGCCAAGGCACGGAGAAGTGCAAATGTGGCAGATTAATAGCACAATTGGAAATAGCAGCGTTTTGTCAGCTCCAAACTCCACAAAGCAGGGGAGGCGTGCCGGCCAGAGGGGGTGGGCCGCGCTACAGCTCTTAGAGTGTGGTCCACTTTTTCGCAGCGGCCTTTCCTAATGCCTGCCCCGGGCTTAAGCCATTGACAGCCGCTGCGCGAGATCTCTATTAGCAGCGAGCGCAAAACGTTCCGCTGCTATCGCTCACCTGGCATTCTGGCAGCCAGCGATAAGATATGCCCCACTCACCCATCGCCTCCCGCGCGTCCCCATCCCCACTCGACGCCCACTTGGTGCCTATGCAAATGGAAATTATTTCGTTTTCAGCATCTTTTGCTGCGTTCCAAGTTCACTTAAAGGTTAATTGACAGTTTTATTGGAGAGTTTCCTGGCCTTGAGCGTGGCTCCAGCTCAGGTGGCAAACTGAAAGGCTAGCTACCTGGCTACCTGGCTAGCTGGCTGTCAGGAATGCCGCCGCGTCTTGATTCTGCAATTGCAAATGGATAGCTATGTAGTTATTTCTGATATGTTGGCATGTGCCATGTACGCACATGCCACGAAGACAGAGAGAGACAGAGAGACAGAGAGAGAGAGAGGCGTATTAGTCATTTTCTTCTAACTCCAACTCCAATTCCAAGTTTTTCCTCGTGCTCGTTTAACAAAGAAAAAAAAAGGTAAATTAATCAAAGAAATTCAATTTTGCACTTAAGAGCAACGTTTTTTTTTTTTGGCAACAGCCACAGCCAAATCTTGGCCAACAATGAAGCGAACAATTACTGCATATTTAATTCAAATCGCAGCAACTCGCATTCTACACTGAGCGAACATTGAACTGCGTAGAACAATTTAAATGAATTTTCTGTTCATATTTATATATTCCAATTGAGAAATAAACTTAAAAATATTTAAATATTTATTAAAGTTGAATTATAGATAGTAAATTAAATTAAGAATAATCTAGTAGGGAGATATCTTTACCTGCACTAAAGCAGGCACACATACATGCACACTCACACACACACACAACTTGTTCGTCTGAAATTCCATAAAATCAATTTWTAAATATAATAATTGTATTTTTATATATTTAAATATAGAATTCCAAATCAACTTTGTATATTGTATGATTCTATATCGAGTTCAATCGTTAAACACTGTTGCTTTATATTCGTTTCCTTACATTGTTTTTCTTGCTGTGCATTCTCTTATAGGCAAATGCATAGTCGCACTTATACACACTCACACGCACACTCACACACAAGCACACACAATGGGACGCAAAAGGACGCTTTGCTGAAAGTCACGACGCATCGCCATCGACGTGGCTCGTAGGCCGTGTAAGCCAACTAATTGGATTTCATTTGAACAGCAGCAACAACAACAACAACAATGAGCAACAATTGCCATAATAAAACAGCAACAGCCACAACAACAAGAAAAGCAACAACAACAACAACAATGGGCCAAATGGTCTCGACTTGGGCAATTGCAATGCAATTTTAATGCAAAATGAGAGGCGGGCCACATTTTTATTGCATTTTTACTTGTATTTCAGTTAATAGCAGGCAGCAGCAGCAGCAGCAGCAGCAACAACAACAACAACAGCAACAGCATGAAATTGGTGCTTGGTATGAATACAAAATGAGGCCAAGAGATGCCACCACAATGCAGGAACAGAACTTCGGCTCTGGAGCGCAGAGCAGAGCTATTTTGCCATTGCTGGCAAAATTAGTATGCAGCAGGTAACTGCAGTCAAGAACAGCAGCAGCAGCGGCAGCAGCAGCAACTACTTCGCATTGCCTTTGCTGCTCGGCTTCCATGTGCAGGACTTTTGCCACTTGACTTTATTGGCAACTTCATGGAATATTCAGCAGTCAAGTTCTGCGCAAGTGCCTTCAAATGGACCACCCCTACTCCCACTCCCTTGCTCACTCCCACTCCCACTCCCACTCACTCATCAAATCCCCATCCCCCACCCCTTTCCCCTTCCTCAAGCTGCTAAGCATCCAATGCCTTTGCTGCAGCTTCATTTCATATGCATTTTTATTTGCCTCATATACAAATGGCAACCAGGCAATCACTGTGTGTGCGAGTGAGTGTTGTGGGCAAGGGGCGTGGCACGGCACAAATGTCACTTCAATTGCCAATACTGATTATGGCGCTGTCTCAGCATGTCGCAGCGCGAACTTTATGTGCGGCCAGCGGAGCGCTATTATTGGTGACACTTTTCGTTGGCTTCTTAAGGTTTATGCGAATGTCTTTCAAATGCCCACAAATTGTTGGCAGTGTGTGTGTGAGAGAGAGATAGCAATAGCAACAGGAGAGAGAGAGAGAGAGTTGGAGAGAAAGACTTATACCAAGTGTCTATCCATACTGTCGTCGTACCCACTGAATAAAACTGAAGAAGTAGATAGTGAGAGAGAGAGAGAGAGAGAGAGAGAGAGAGAGAGAGAGAGAGAGAACATGTAAAGTATAGAATGTATGGAATATATATGTGAAGCACATAAAGTATAGAAAGCTTATATAGTATGAGGATATAACATATCTATGTAAAGTTTATGTATTATACCAGGCACATAATGTTTATAAAGACTATAGAAGAACAATGAAATTCCAACTCTCTAACTTTGGTTGGCAAAGTTTTCCTTCGTTCAATACCTCGTTTCCATTCAAGTGAGAGTAGAGTAGTTGGAAGTCGTTCACAGCTTTCACTCTACTCGCTGGGGCTGCCCTTGCCATTTGTGTGATTTCCCTCAACACGTAAGACGCTTTCTTGTGTTTCCTGGCGACTTGCCGCACTCCCCTGGCGTTTGATTTCGAAGTTCTTTTGGCCTGTCCGCACTTAGACGTGGACTTTGAGTGCGACTTGGAGTTGGTCTTCGATTTCGGTTTGGGTGGGGCCAACTGCTTGTTCGGGTCTATGCGAGATTTTGTTAGTGAATTGACCACACAATTTGCTAAGCGATAAATTAGCACATTAATTATTTAATCATGTGTCTGTGCCTCTCTCGCTCTCTCAATCTCTGTCTCTATCTCTATCTCTATCTCTGTTGCTTTCTATGTGCGTGTGGGGGTTTTGGTTGTTTCTTGTTGTGGCGAGCGGTTGACTTGTTGAGCATCGATTGCACTGATTTGAGCTAAGGGAGAAAGGATGTTGCGCTCAGCAGCTGAGATTAGCATGGAATGTGAACCGTCTCTAGCCAGCTTGAATCTTATAGTATGGTATGGTATAGTTGTCGGGGAATTCGTAATTTTGTAGTACTGCGATATTAGAACTGACAGTTTGTTCATGAAGTAAGATTAAATATATCTGAGATAATATATGACTTTATATGTTATTTATACCGAAACGCACAATTACCGTTGGATTTTCAGGTATTAAGTACTAATCTAGGCACACAAGACAATCTTAATGCTTCAGAGTAGTAGTTGCTCTGACTAAAAATACTGAAGTACCTCTTCAGTTATGGACTCCCATATATACATATATCATATAGTGCCAATCAGAATATACTTTTTAAAGGGTCTGGGATATGGAATGCCAGTCATGCCACAGTCATGTCTTCCGTAATGGCCATTCCATTTCCTGAGTATAATAATCGTGGCATACGAGAGTGTTCCTAATTAATTTCGCACCCACTCTCCATTCACTTTCCCTCTCTACCCACTCTCCCTCCCCCCATCTTCCACCCACTCTTATTCACTGATTTTTATGTAGCCACACAATTTTGGGGAGCACATGCGAACCTCTGCGCATGCATATTGCATGGTATATGGGCATTTTTAATAAGTATCCAATTTTTTGCCACGCATTTTCGCATTTTGTGGCGCCCTCCTAAGCTGCTCTTCCTCTTCCTCTGCTCGGCGCCTTCAGCATATGCCGGTCGACAATTTTTATGCTTCGCCATTTTTGGTCGTTTTATAAATTAAATATGCCACTCGCGCAATTTCAGCCAGCGATTGTTTCGCAATACCCTGTAATGTACATATGCAGAAGGAGGTTTGAACCGCAAAACAAAAATTTGCTCTGCTGTGTTAATGAATTGGAATCACTGAATGGAAATAAAGAGTAGTAAAAATCGAATTTTTTGGACTGATTGAATGACTGACTGATTGACAAGCCGACCGATTACATTTCTATAAAATAATACTCCATTGATGATCAAATTTAATTAGGCCTAGAGATAAGTCAGTGGAAGAGCTAACG